CATCCCCTAGCCCCTAAAATCGATGTAGTATGAAAAAAAGACAATAGTGCACTTTTCCTCATTCTTCTTGCTTTGTCTTCCCTGTACCTTTGTATACATTTGGTTAGAACTTCTCACAGAAGTTCCACCCAGAATGAAACTGTGATAGTAAATAATTTATATAATGCAATTTCAATCATAAAAAGCAATGGTCTATATTAAGTTATTTTTTTCAAAAGACTTTACCACTTTAAATCCCATGTCATCACATCCCTCTTGGAAGGCAGAAAGGAGGCATTGAGTTCAGAGGAGTTTCAGTGAGCGCTACAAGGAAACCAGTTACTGACTGAAATCACCTGAGAGGTAGATGCAAGGTTCTGCAGAATACCTGTGGTATTCTTATCATGTTCTGATATTGCAAAATGCTCTGAAAAAATGACATTGAGTGTAGGAAATATGAATTTGGGGCTGTTGAATGTCGTGTGAGCCTCCAGCTACAGTTTGATCAGCACAAAGCAGTGAAAGGGAAGGTTTGTAGAATACTGTAGGAATCTGATAAGGACTGCATTTCAAGATTTACATCCTTATTTTTAAAATTAAATTGGATAGCATTCTCTGTGTGCTCTTACATAAGTGTTTTATAGAATACAGGTTGGTGCTTCAACCCTTTCGGTGTCTATCTTTCAGTCGCAATGCATTTTTGTGTAGAATGGTATTTGGCAAATCAGTTTTGCACAGAACAAAATCTGACTGTATGATGAGGAAGCTGTCCCGAGTTCACTCCTATGTGTGACTTCAACACAGTCACCTAATTTCAGCTCCATCTCAAATTATCTTTTTCATTTTTCTAAGCAAACTTCTTTCAACCTGCAGTTTGAAGAGGGACCTTTGAAATACAAGGTGAGAGGATCATCCTGTGGAGTAGGAAGTCTATCAAAAAGTAGGAATGAGTGTTGAATATATTTATTTCACAAGGGTAGAAGACTATTTGGAAAAATGGTGTTTAAAGACTGGTTATTTTATGCATTTGTATTAATTTTGGGTAAGTCATGTTATTTTATGAAACATTTTACTGAAAAAAAAACCAAAATCATTTAGCTATTTTCCATCCTCTTTTCTTTAAGAGGAAAACAAAAAAGTTGGGAAAATTGCATGTTTTTGTTAAGCAGAAGGAAGGGTTATCCCAGAACTTTGCATTTATCATCTGGTCATGTGCAAACCTTGTTTAGTGCAGGAATAAACAGAGTCACGTTAAATTTGTTGTGAGCTCGAGCCTCTGACAGTGCTCATTTTATCAACAAAGACAAATGAAGGAGCAGAAATTGTAGCATGGCCTCCACTATTTCATCATTGTCAACCTTAAATACAGTCATTCACTGCAGAGAGGTTTTTTTCCTTCCTTCTCCCACTAACACTAAGCTGCCAGAATCCTTCTTGATATGGTCCAGAGCCTCAGTAGCGGTGATTAAAAGAGAAGGAATGAAATTAGCTTTTTTAATCTCTCTATTGATAAATACCTTTTTTTCAGAGAAGGAGCTCTGAAATATCCTCTTTCTTCTTGTAGATGCCATTTCATTAAATAGAGGTGAAAGTAAATAGTAGAGTGATTTGACATTAAGTCAAAATTTAGATGATTAGAGGCATCACACATTCTCTTGAAAGATAGTGAGTGCTGAAGAACAGGGGAAACTCAGCTAACAGTGGATGTTTATTTTCTGTAGGGAATTGCACATGAAATACCACAAAGAAAGATGCACACAATTAGAAAGTGCCCAGTCCTTACTCATTTTACTGATAACATGCTGCATTGACAGATTGATCTAATGAATCCAAGGAATTACTTCAGGTGTGTAACAGCTCCTCAGCACAAAAGGCCATGATCTGACCCTATGCTTCAATGGTTAAATTCTTTCTTTTGAAGCTTTCCTATGAAAGAACTTGTTTGGCCTTTTTTTAAACCTGTCATTTACTGATGGGAAAACTGACAGACAATCTCAAGGATAGAAAGCACACAGTTTGCCAGATCAGCCTATGTCTCAGTCCAAACCTGCATGACCCAAACAGGTGTTAAATATTGCCATCTAGTTGAATAGGGTGAGGTCACATTCAGGATGAGAATTAAATTAGACAAGGTAGATTTCAAAAATACCTGTCTATCTTACCCTTGCGAAACAGGAGATGACTGCTCATCAGACTGCTCATATCTTGTATGAGATAAATAACATCCTAGGATAATCATACTAGGATAATGATGGAATTAAACAAAACAACTTAGAACAGTGTAAAATGTGAGAACCTTGATGAGTTTTGAAAGAGTGCACGCTTTGCAAAGGTAAGGATCATCCACTGGCTTTGCAAACGATCATCCACTGGCAAAGACTACACAAGCTACCATGTCCCACAAATTCTGACTAAACAATACAGAAGCATAATGCTGTACAATCTGATTAGTCATCTTTAAGAAAATTTGAAAGACGTTTTCTTTGCAAGCAGAAGGATGTGGTAGTAAAATAAGTATCCACAACTGACTTCTTATTCATATTTTATTTAACTAAGTTTTAAAATGACCAGTACCTCTTTTAGGTCTTCATTTTTTGCTGTTTTTTATAAAGCTTGAACAGTTGTTTCATGTGCCAGGCTCCAGAAATAAGATGAATAAGATGAAGCACAATTCTACAGATAGGAGCACAAGAGTCCTGCCAATCTTTGCTGAACCAGTTTCAAGGAAGACAACTGAAGTTCCTGAAACTTCACTTTAAATCGTGGAACTGAAGCAATTTAGCAGTGACATTCACCTCCCAGCCTGGAAGGCTCCTAAGGCTGCTCACCTCATAAATCCTTTTAAAGTCCCATTCAGAGAGTTTAAATGGGATTTAAGTGATGCATAGGCCTGCCCAGGCCAAGAGCACCGGTGTGAATTTTGCTTTAATGATCTGCATGTCAATAGAGTCAGACTGGTATGAGAAGAGTAGAGAATCACTTAGAAGGCCCTTTGACACCCTAGCACTGTATGGTTTAACTGTGCTACTTTGCTGTGTATCTGTATTAAAATAAACAGATTTCCCCTCCACAGGATGGAACAGCTAAACAAAAAGATTTAAAGGGTAATTATAACATCAGAAGGCTCTTCAGATTAGGGATTTCATTATTAACTCAGAGAACAAACAGACTTTGAGTGTGAATAAAATTTCCATTTTCAATAGTCTTAATGGTTTTTCATAATTTAAAAATTAATGTTCTGGCATACTTCTTGCATGTTAGTGCAACCTCTTGTTAAACCTTCAGATCAGCAGCAGCCTAACTTCGGAAAGCTGGATCCTCAGCTTCTGAAATTACCTAATAACTGAATTTAAGTGCATATTTATCAATTGACATCAGCCTGGAGATTTCTGGAGGTTCAACAGCAGAGGAAAAAAAAAGCATATACACATTTCAAGCAATGTTGTTTAAGAAGTAGGAGTAGAAACAGCAGATACTTTAGGTCATAGAAACAATGAAATTTAACAGATGAATTTACTAGATTCCAAAACCCAGCCTGATGTTCCTTTAACAGTTGTTGAGAACTTTGTCTAATACTATGCCGGTCATTATTAGAATGGGAGGATATTCTTTTAATCTCTCTGTGTCAAGTCTTGTGGAATAATGGATGAAAGCCTGTGTGTCAAACTGAATATGGAATCAAAGGTATGGCTTTTTCTGAAAAGAATAATATAGTGTTTCAAGATGCAAGTCTAGGTCTTGTTGAAATGTAAGGGGTCAGAACCTTGTTTTCACATGTGGGATGGGCTGCTTAAAGTCAAGGGTTGTTTTTATTCCCCATTCTTAGTAGTCCAGGGAGTTGTCTAAAAATGTACTTATTTCTTTGGAATCGTTACCTAGATGGAATTACTAGTAGGGTACATGAAACAGTTTAGATATCTGAAATATTTTGAAAATAAGGACAGATTATTTTTTTGTGCTAACTCCAATTTGGAGTCATCTCTGCAGACTTATTTAAGTTATAAACATGCAAGTAGTTGAGATACAGTGCACTTTTGAGCCATGTCACAGAAAAGGGGAGATTTCCTCAAAACTCCTGTGTTTGATTAGTCTGTCAGCACCCCAGGAAAGCCAAGACCCTTGGCAACAACCAATCTATCAACATCCTGTTATGGGGACTCTCCACTGAGCAGCCCCTGGATTGAAGGGTGGTTTGACTGACTTGTTCAGGGACACACACCAACAGCATAAGAGATACCCCCTCCCGGGTCTCCACACTTTTATTCCAGTATGTTCCCCACTGCCAGTGACTGCTGACACCCTTGAAGGACTCACACTAACAGTGTATGAAATAACACTCTTAATCAACAACATTGTGACAGATTAAGGTTTGAGGGTTGCTGATGATGGCATCTGATTGCAAAAATATATTCAAAGCAAGCTCTAACCCCTAACAAAAATTAGCTTGAGGTAATCATCCAATGCACACAAAGTGCAATTCTTACCCAACAGGTAAGAGGGAGAAGACAGGTTCAGCTTGTCGATTGATCCCATAAGTTACCCAGAAGTCTATTCTAACTTCTTGCCATTCTTAACTTACTTCTGTACTATTTCTTTACTTTTAAGTGGGGCTTGAGTGACTCTAGTCATACATAATGCTCAGTGAGGTGTGGTTGTACCTTGGAGGCGGGTAGCCTTGGGATGGAGGTGTGCATCAATGTTACATCTGAGGAGAGGGATTTTGCAATAGTTGCTGGTCTTCTTTCATCTCCCTTTGTTGGCAGCTGCTATGAGGCTTATCAGCTAAAGGGTAGCACGGAGTTCCCTCCTCTGCAAGGATTTCAGCAGAGCTTGGTCAAGGTATCTCCACTTTGCTCCACCCTCCTCCATTTCATCCCCCCTTAGCTTGTGTATGGGAAACTGGGCATGCTGACCACATTCCATCCAGTGAGTAGCAACTGCATTTCCCCCTATAATTTCCATCCTGTTATAACTGTGTCTATCCCTTTCCACTTTTCTTTAATTTTACTCTCAGTCTTTTTTTCTACAGTCTGGTTTATGTGTTTGTTTACGATAAAGGCAAAAGTGAATATATTTGAGGGGTGAAAGCTTTTCTGAATGAATAGGTCTCAAAATAACTGTTAGGTACTATTGTCTTTTGGATTATTAAACTTCACTATTTAAGGATAACTAATACTGACACTCTTCATCTCATCTTTGTATGGCAAAAAACAGGAAGAGATCAGAGTATGTATGGAGTGGCCCATTCACTCATGGTGTTATATCCAGTCAGGAAGGGTGCCGGGATACAAATTCACAAAAGGTTAGTGGAGCAGGAAAGTAGCTGTCAGAAGTACAGCATACTCACCCTTTTTCTGTTGGTAAACAGGGAACAAACAAGTTACAGAACATGTAAAAAAGTTTATAATGAGAGAGAAGACAGGAGTAGTTAGAGGTACTTCAGCACTTGAGAATAGCCAGGCTGCTTTCCTTCCAAGGGAAAAATATGCAGTATCACAGCTTCATGTTAGCATGCATTACACATCATATACAACATCACAATAAATATGTCCAACAGAGTCTGATTTCAAAATATTACATATCAGCTGAAAAAACTGCAAAAAAAATTGGTTTTCTTTAAATGACTGTGGTGTTTAACAGAGCTTTTCTCTCCACAAATGTGATTTATAAGATTTTTTTATGTATATATTAGTCTTGTTACCTGTAAAATTGATGTGTGTCCTGTGGCGCTATAAATGGATAAAGAAACAGGGTTTTGTAGCACAGATATTGTGAGGAGAAAACGCGACAGAGAGATGAAGTGTCAGAAAAACGTAATTTTGATTTAGAGAGATCAGTCTGACTTTATACTGCAGATGGGGAACTAAAAAGAGTATTGGGATTGGGAGATGTTTCTGAACTACGAATTTACATACATGCTTTATATCCCATAAATTTAGAGGGATTTTGACATGCCAATGTTTGATAAGGAAGATAAATTTTCTTTGGATTGTTGGGAGGGGGAGATCATTTTATCAAAACCATAACTTTGAACAGTAAAAATGAGAATGATGTTGCATTGTGTGAGGAATGAACAAAATCCATTCGGCTGTGAGCTTTCATAAATATTCTACTCTTACTCCTGTCCATCCTTATTACATTGCCATTGATTCTCCTTACGTGATTTTTTTTCTTTTTCCCCAAGGCAAGGAGGCTGCAATGTAGGAGACTGTTAATTTTGAGTGATATGGTTGTTGGGGTTTGGGTAGGGGTTTTATGGAGGGAAGCAGATTTTTTAAAAAAATTGTATTTTCTTCAAACTCTGACTGCAAGTGTACTTAACATCTCATCAAATACTTTCTCAATTTTTTTTTTTTTAATGTATTCTGGATAAGATATTAAACCAATATTTCCCTAAGTTATTTGGGGTGGGTAGTCTCTGATTTCTTAACACAGACAACAAATAAGTAAAAAAATAAAGTATTTCGCATCCAAGTTTCATGGTTGTCTCTGAGTTTGAGCTGTGCATAGCACAGGATTCAAAGGTACAGGAAGAAATCTTGCTCAAATCCCTTTTCCTGTCCTCTGACACTCACCTCCTCTTGAGTGCAGGAACATAACCTCTGTAACTTAGATCAAGAAAATTATCCCACAAAAAGATTCCTATGCAAGAGAATCTATTATTCTCCCTCATGTCCCATCAGCAGTTTCATTCTGGATGAGATGATGAACACATTTTCCTTCCTATTGAGTGCAAGAAAACTGGGTATTATCATTTGAAAATGACAGAGATTTTGTTGAATAGGGCATCACGTAAAAGACAAAAAACAGAAAAGAACTATATTCACAGTTGGTGAGAGTCTGGTTAATAGTTGATGACAATATTGAACATTTCCTTGTTCTTTCTGTGTCCAAGTCCTGCAAATGTAATTAAGTACAAATGCTATAATGTTATAGCTTATGTGTTACTTGTGCCTTCTGGCTTTCGAGGAGTTCACCAGTGCTAGAGGGTTGAACAGCAAATAGAATTTGTTATCAAAAGAAAGTAAATATATGCAAGATAGTACCTTCATTGTGAGTCTTTTCTTCTGAAAGAAGCTTTGTAAGCACATAAAAACCCCAACAGTTAAGTGAGACGTGTGGAACTGTGCCACATTCAGTTGTTGTCAGAGAAGAATAAGATATATAAAACATAAATTGCTTGCAACTTCCTGGTTCTGCATGAACAAGTGCTTCAAAGTAAGTTCTTCATTTGATTTTGGCTTCACACAGGACTCAGGTGGGCTCACAATTTTCCCTTTATTCCAAATACTGGTGTAGTTCTCTAACCAGTATCAATTTTCCTCACTCCCTGGCTATTCACAGATCTACAGCTGTTGATAGCAGCCGACCTAGACAGTACATTGTAGAAGCAAGGGAAATTTTGCACCTTCTCACTCACTCTCAGTCACTAATTGCTGATTAATCTAGTTCTTACAATTCACCCATCATGATTGTTTTTTTAAAGTGCAAATATTCAGTAGGAATATTAAAAGAATTTTAAAGAAAAAAAAATCAAATGTAAGGGAACAAGGCACTTTTCTCTTCATTGAGATCCTACTTGGTATGTTGGAATACGCCTGTCTTCTTGGAGAGGATCTTCAGAGATTATTTTCATTAGGTCAGTGCAGAGGTTATCTTCACCTCTCAGTCGTAAGAGGCAAGGAGGAAAGAGAAAGTGGAGGTAGAAGAAAGGGGAAAGGACACTTGTGAGAAGAACCATGAGAGGATGGTCATGAAACAGAGTTGAGGGGTTAGTCAGGAAGAGAGATTTGATGATCTAGTGGGAAGAAGAGCCACATGAAGAGGCAGAAACAGAATTGCTGTGAGATGTACCAAATTGCTATAAAGGGGGCTGGAAGTAAGGACAAGGTACTCCAGAAGGACCAAAATCAGAAGGGTTCCTGGAAGATAGAGACACAGATAGATAGATAGATAGATACACAGATAGATAGACAGATAGTAGCAGTTTAAGGGGAGGGATTAAAAAATACTATTCAAAGAACAGAAAGGTTAAAAAAAAAAAAAAGAAAAATATTGCCATTATTTGAGCATTTATTCAATGGGAGTTATTTGCAAGAACACTTTCAAATGGCATTTTACTTTCCATTCACATTCTTCCAGTTCCACTGTGGAACATTTGAATTTCATGTCCTTGACATTCTGGTTTCTGTGTTTATAGAAGAAGAAAAGTAACGTTGTTTGGACTGGTAATATTTCTTTAACATTATGACAAAGAAAAGTTAACTTCACATTAAAACTTTTCAAAGTGAGACAGTTTAGCGTATTCCTTTCCAATGTTTTTGGTTCCTAATAATTCCTATTCCATGGAATCATTCACACCTTCTTTATTTATTGTACCAGGAAATAATACCTCAGCTTTCAGGAGAGCAGCACTCTATTCAACTGATGCTGGCTTTTATCTAATGATACAATAAGTTGGGTGATTGTTTGATGTGTACATATTGTGTTTCAGGTCTCAGTGGGAAGCTGTCAAGACTTTTATTGGTAATATTTTCCTCTTCCTGGCTTTGGATTTCTCTGAGGATCGGCAGTTAACGTAGCATTTTCTGTAACAATTAGATTAAAGTGCCAGAGATTTGTTTTTCCTTCATTCAATTTTTTTAATTAGGTCATTCCTTAAAAGGTTATCTTAATATAGTAAATGCACTACCTCCATGAATGAGGCATGTTAAATGATACATTGTACTGGTTTAAAGGTAAACCAGCAGGGGAAATGAACTCAACTCAAAAGAGAGACTATAAATCAGAATAACAATTTAATAAAATAATACAATAAATACAATTATACAGACAAACAATTGGTTTTAACCCACAAAACCCAAATGTATAACCCAGCATCCTGGGCATGAACAGAGTGGTGTTCTTTGGGCCCCCTGAGTCCAAAGAAAAGGAGAGGGGAAAAACCTGTTGGTGAGAGTGCTGGTGCAGTCCGGTCAAGAGTGGTGATTGCAGTCCGGTCAAGGGTGGTGGTCTCAGTCTGACTGAGAGTGGTGGTCTGCAGTCTTCCTCTGGATCCCACGAGTGGTTGAAAATGTTCCAAGACTCCAAGATTATATATCCTCCAGTTCAGGCAGGAATGCCCAGTATTTCCCTCAGGGCAGGGAGTTCCACAAAGGGTATGAGGACAGAAGCACCCTCCTCTCTCACAGGCCTCTAAACACCCAGTTTATAGCCTGAGGAGTCAGGCTGCTCTGGGCAGATGGTGCAAATAGTCTATTGACAACAGTTTCTGGGAAATGGCATGGAAGGCTATAGAATACACAGTTTTGGGTTACACCCATCCAGTGATGAACGGGTCCCAGCTGTTCTAACTAGGACATACATGGATTTTTGCTGTTAGATAGCCTATTTCAGCGTGGCGCTCCTGCCAGCAAATGACTGCCCTTCCACCCAGGAAAGAAAGCCCTGACCCTCTGCCTCTCGTGTGCCGTTGGTAAGCCACTCTTGGCACTACATGATTAGCCAGAGCTTTCTGTGCAGGCACCTTTGTTCTGGGAGGAATCTTCATCCGACTTAAATTTTGGCAGCTGGACGGCTTGTTGTAGCGCGGTGCTTCTGCTAGTGAACAATGCCTGGAGGGGGGAGAGCTGTAACCTCCCTTATGCAAGACCCAGAAGGACCACTCTGCACACAAGTCACAGTGTGACACAAAATGGCCATTTATTGAACATGAACGCTGGTTTATAAAGGGAGAACATGGATCTTACTAGAAAAAAGGGTGGAGACTGAGAGGAGTATTGCCAATCACGGTAACAAGGGGCAGAACTTATGCAAACGTGGATAAGGGAGAATCAATCTACAGGGAGCACTGCAATGCAGCAGGGTTGAAAGGATAAGGAAATGGTTTACAGAGAACCAATAGCAGATTAGGCAACAGGGGAACAGAGAAGAGAACCAAACACTCCAACAACAAAACATATTATGATAAAAAGACAACAATTGCACAACTAAATAAAACACAGAAAACAGACACTTTTGTGGTTATGATGATTATATTTCTGCATGAAGGAGTAGGTGCACAGTGAGATGATTTCTTCCCCTTCCTACGATCTCTCCTCATTAAGTCTATTCAACAATGCATAAGACTTTCTTGGGGCACCTCCAACAATTGCCCTTCCACCTTAAAAAGAAAGCCCTGACCCTCCGACTCTAATGTGCAGTTGGTGCACTACTCCTGGCACCTTGTGCACAGCAAGTGCTTTCTAGGTGGGAAACTTTGGTCTGACAGGCATCTTCATCTGTATTGAATTTTTGCAGTCAGACAGTTTGCTGCAGCATGGCACTTCTGCCAGGGTCAGGGCTTTCTTTCTTGGGTGAAAGGGCAGTTGTTCGCTGGCAAAAGCGCCACGCTGCAACAAGCCATCCGACTGCCAAAATTCAATATGGACGCAGATTCCTCCCAGACCAAAGGTGTCAAGCCAGAAAGAACTTGCTATGCACGCAGTGCCGAGAGCAGCGCACCAACTGCACAGGAAAGACAGAGGGTGAGGGCTTTCTTTATTGCGTGGAAGGAGAGTCGTTCCCCGGCAGCTCACAGGCTTTCTGTCCTGGGGCACAGGGCTGCTGTACGCTTTCTTCAGCCCTCTGTTGCAATTGCAGGTCCTCACTCCCCAAAACCAATACAAATGAGGATTCCTCCCAGGGAAAAGGTGCCAGCACACAAAGCCCTGGCTGCCCACGGAGTGCCCAGGCTGCGCCACCAACTGCACCTGAAAGCCAAAGCTCACAGGCTTTCTGTCCTGGGTTAAAGAGCTGCTGTACACTTTGTTCAGCCTTGTGCTCCCTCCTCCCCATAACTGAGACAAATGAAGATTCCTCCCACATAAAAGGTGACACCACAGAAAAGTTTTCCCACCCACAGAGTGCCCAGTCTGCTCTAGTACCTTCACCACAGAGTCAAAGGTTCCAGGCTTTCTTTTCAGGGGAAAAATTCTGCTCTTTCTTTTTCTCAGCCCTGCCTTGAAATTAGGGTCCCACATCCCCATAGTTTAATAAAAATGAAGATTCCTCCCAGGGAAAAGGTGCCAACACAGAAAGCTCTTGCTGCACACAGAATAGCAAGAATGTCCCTCCAGCTGAAGATAACAGACTCGTGGTAACAGTTTTCTTTCCAGTGTTAAACTGCCCTCATTCTGGTATTGAAATTTTCCACTTAAATTGCCAGTCCTACTCTGGAAAAGGATTGTCCACCATAGACCTACCTCATAGGCCATCAAAGAGAGCTTGGATGGAGAAAGGGAGGGAGGGTGGCTGTGCTTTTACTTGTCTCCCTGCCTGGGTGACCGGCTGCCATGCCATGCCATGCCATGCCATGCCATGCCATGCCATGCCATG